AAATGGTGAATGGACCAATTATCCGGCTATGAAGGAAATCGTTGATTTGTAAGTGGGATCGTTCTAAATATATATTCGTGTATATTTATATATTTTCTTATTTGTGGGATTGATCTAAACATATGCTTTTATATATTTAATAATTAGATCAATACAAGTGTTCCGTAGTCAACGGGACGCACAGGTATCCCGGACTAAATCAAACAACATCACTTGGATCCAAGTGCAGGTACATTACTTTTCACAATTTTGCTTATAATATTTATGCTACTTGGTAAAACAAGACAACTATAGAATCTTATTTGTTTTATTATGTAGTGTCCGCAACAGCGAAACAGTCATGATTGCGGATACTTTGTTTTGAGGTTCATGAAAGAAATCCTTCAGGCGAATCAATTAGAGATTCCGCTCACGGTATGAATTTATAACTTAAGATAATTTCATATAATTTATTACATTTAACTAAATATATCATTTATATTATGTTTTTGTTTTGTAGTACCTTGACGAATTCCGTGCTGCTGGGTACCCGAAGCTTAAGTTGGAAGAAATTAAAGAAGATTTGTGTCAATATTATATTAAGCAATTTTTCATGTAGGATTTGTGTCGATTTGAACTATAATATTATTGATGTAATGATGTATATATATAATTTTGGATATTATAATGGTATTATATTAGTATATATATTGTCTTACTGATGGCTGAAATAATAGCGTCGAAAATATATTACAGGTCAAAAATATATTACAGGTCGAAAATATTACAGGTCGAAAACATTACAGGTCGACTGGGAGGATTAAATTATAGGCTGCACATAAAAATACCTCATTTAGAAACGACAGCGCTTTTAAAAAGCGCTCTTAAAGGTCCACCTACTAAAGCGCTTCTTAGTAAAAGCGCTGCCAAAGACCAGTAAAAAAGCATAAAAAATTAAAAAAAAACGCAGCATACAAAAGCGCTTTTGGAAAAGCGCTCTTATAGGGGGGCCTATCAGAGCGCTTTTTCCAGAAAAAGCGCTCTCATAGGGGGGCCTACCAGAGCGCTTTTCCAAAAGCGCTTTTGTATGCTGCGTTTTTTTTTAATTTTTTATGCTTTTTTACTGGTCTTTGGCAGCGCTTTCTGGGAAAAGCGCTCTTAAAGGGGGGTCTACCAGAGCGCTTTTTCCAGGAAAGCGCTCTTATAGGGGGTCCTACCAGAGCGCTTTTTCCAGGAAAGCGCTCTTAAAGGGGGGGTCTACCAGAGCGCTTTTAGAAGCGCTTTTGTTACCTACGCCAGCGCCAGCTATTAAAGCGCTTTTAAGCGCTTTTAAAAGCCAAAATAAGCGCTTTAAAAGCCCTTTTCCGTAGTAGTGTAGGAACTAAAAAACACCTAAATTTTCATTTTTCAATAGTATGTCCTTTCTTGCAATAATAATGACAAATCAACCTATGATGATGTTTACTTTTGCTATTTGAATCCTTTTTAATCAAGCTACACTTTTTATAAGGCTTTGCAACCTTTGAAGAATTAATAGCAAAAGAAACACATGGTTGTGGTTTCTTGTCCACTTTGGTTTCAAGAGTATTCACCTCATGTTTCCAAATTTGACAAGTTTCACACCTAAACCGACATGGTTCCTCATCCTCCTTTTTATGATTTTGAACATCTACAATAGATCTCTTTAATGTTTAAAATTTCTTATTGGTTTCTTCAACCTTTGCTTCCAAGTATGTAAAAAAATTCATTGGAAGTTGATTTCTTATAAGCATGTAATGCATCTTTTTGTAAATTTTCAAAAGCATTTTTCAATTCAATAAAAGACAACTTATCAATGTTAGAGAAATTAGAATGACTTAAATTATTTTTCTTGATTTGACATTGATTAGCCATGAAACAATAATTTTCTCCTTTATCTCTATCACTTGAGATTTCTTTGCTTGAGACATCACTATCTATATCCCAAGTAACATAATCTTTTCTAGATTTCTTAGACTTGTTTTGTTGGCCTTTTCCTTTTTCATTTTCAAGAGATGGACATTCTGGTCTATAGTGACCTGATTTTCCACATTCATAGTGTATATCTCTTGGTTTACCCTTTTTATTGTCTTCATCTTTAGAGGATGCAGATTTCCTTCTAAATTTTATAAGATTTTTGTCTGAGTGTTTAACACCATTCTTGTGAATGTATTGATTATATCTTCTCACAAACAATCCCATTTGTTCATCATCCTAATCTTCTTCATCACAAGAATCACTATCATAAACATGCTCACTTTTTGAGGACCTTGAACTCGAAGCCCTAAGAGCTTTAGACTTTGTTCTTTCATCCTTATCAGTGTCTTTCTCATTTTTCTTCTTTTTCTCGAGTTTCTTTTCATGTTTGTCCAAGCAAGTGAGTTCTTGCTCGTGTTTTTCCAACTTTATAAACAAAGTGATGAGATAAAGTGTTGCAAGATTATTGACTTCCTTGATCATCGTGACCTTTGATTTCTAATTCCTAGTAAGACATCTCAAAACCTTGTTAGTAGAAATTGTATTGGAAATAATATTACCTAGCAAATTTAAATGATTAATAAGATATGAGATTCGCTTTTGCATTTGAGCAATAGTTTCACTATTCTTCATGCGAAAGAGTTCAAATTCTTGATTAAGTGTATTAATTATAGCTTGTTTGACCTTATTAGTTCCCTAATAGGTAACTTGTAGAGCGTCTCACATAGCCTTAGCGGTTTCATAATGAGAAATACGATAAAACTCATCAATACCAAGAGCGGATATGATAATGTTTTTCACTCTCCAATCGCGCCCCCACTTCTCATAATCTTAATTATTCTATAGTGCTTTCGGCTTAGGTGTAACAACACCATCAACAACATGTGTAGCCGGTGTTGGACCATTTTGAATGGCCTCACACACACCTTTATCATATGAGTTAACATGAATTTGCATACAAGCTTTCCAATAATTATAGTTTTCTCCCATAAAGATTGAGGATCTTTTATAATCCTCTTTAGGTTCGTATGCCATTTTTTAATAAGAGTTTTGAAGCACAAAATTAACTAGGCTCTTGATTCCACTTGTTAGACGATGACGAATTATCTAAAGAGGGGTGAATAGATCACCAAGTCAAAGTACCAATCAAATTTGGAGTTTAAAAATTATTTGAAAAGTGTGCAAGCGGAAGATTTTAATATAGGTCGATAAAAGTCGTTTATACGAACCTAGTTATTAGAACTCGGATATGCAACAAGCCTTATGGAATAAATGAATTAATAATATGAATTTATACACTTGAAACAAACAACACTTTATTATTCGTTTATAGCAATTCACTAGCAATCTATTTCCAATGAAATTAAGCAAAAATAATGAACAACGTAATTTGTCAAACACTTGGTGTGCGACCGAATTTTTCAGAATTTTTCATTGAGTGTTGTTGATATGAAAAAGCACTTATAAACAAAGTGATTATAAGCTAATCAACAATCAATTTAAAATAAAAACAGCCACAAAAAATTCTTATGAGTCGATCGATTAATCAATGAAATTCAACAAATTGCTTAACAAAAAGGAAAACAAGTAAAGATATAAGAGAGAGCGACACGATAATTTGTTTAGGAAGTTAACCAATCATCCTCGCTATGGCTACGTCTCTCCCCAATTCTGTTGTGGAATTATGATAATTTCTTACTATGCAAAAAGTTGATTCCAAGAGAAGTGTTTCAAGAGTAACCCTACAACCCTTAACTACTTGTTGTTGATCAACTCCTTCTCTTCAATTGATCTTGAGCAAGACCAAGACATAATATCTACCAATTGATTTATATAATCTTGCTACTCCTTTGGATACCAAACTCCGAAGCTCTTTCACGCGCGATCAATTGTAACTATTGAACACAGACACTTTCAAATTGATTCGTCGTTCTCTCGCTACTTTATTGGGTATCAAACTTTAAGGCTTTCACTTGGCCGTAATCCTCTTTTGAAAGCCTTGAACAAAACCCCCAAATCTACCAAAGATCTTGGAGTACAACCCCTAGGTTTTTTTGGATAAAACCCCCTATAATTCTCAACCCAATATTCTCGGTTACACAAAAACCTAATTGGATGTTATCAAACCTCGCCTAGATGAAACCCCGAAAAAAGATGATTATGTGTGATTTATCAGTCTGTATGCATAGGTTGGATGTTTGAAGGTGAAGAGAAATGATGGTAAGTGTTTATAGTTTCATCAAGTTAGAATGATGCATGAACGATGTACTTATAGTTGTGGAAGTTTGTATGTAAAGAGATAATTTTCGGAATTAAAAAGAATTAAAAAATTGACCCAATCAAATAATATGTGTCGGTCTGAAATATGGATGTGTTGGCACATAAAGATAAAAATAACAGTATGTGCCGCCTGAAAAGGCTTACGTGTCGGCCTAAAGATGTCGCCATGGGAGAAAGCGATAAAGTTGTGCACCATACACTCAACAGCGTCGTAGGTGGATTCGTCAGAGACAGAGAGACTAACTCCATACGTAAAAGATACACCCGCCAGATACTAAAAGTTGAAGACATCTCCGCCAAAAAAGTCAGAAACAGACCGATAACACTGAAATCCAAGATCGCCTTTTTCGAGAAGGACCCCGTTGGCACTCACCCCTACAATGATTCGGATGTGTATGGTTATGAATCTTTAAAATCTCATATATTATTATACGATTGCTTTTGTACATCTAGATGTGTATGCTTATGGGGTTGGTCCCCTTCTAAACTTTCCCTTAAATTAAAGAAAAAACAAATAAAATTTTGTGAAAATTATATCATCTAAGGCAAATTCTAGACACCTTTGGTGTTATATATATATATTTAATTTGTATATATGTATACATTTTGTGTATGTCATTTTCAATTGCTGCACTTCCTATACATGATTATTGGAAAGCTGCTTGCGCATCTTTGCCTTCCAATACCTATTTTCTAATTTCTTATAAACTAAACAATTGATTAATTCTTAATCAACTAAGTTTCTATCAAATCTCAATCTCTTTATCTTTATTTACTCTTGATTTCAATGAATTTGATACTTCAAAATGAGACTCCACAGAACCATCTGAAACATGATAACAATGTTCATAACTAGCCTTTGTAGTCCAAAGCAGAATCAACAAAACCATTATCACTCCAAGGAACACCATTCCTACCCATGCCATCTTAGCATATTTCTTCATAGGCTTGCAATGGTGAACAAGAACTTGAGAAAATGCATCTTTCACAATTTGACATTCTAACAAATGTTCCATACTTGGATACACATTCAATAAATCTTGAATTGAATTTGTGTAAGTTTCAACTCTTGCATATTCAATGTTTGTTATGAAATTTCCATTCTCACATGTCACAACATTTGCATCCAAACAAGTAAAAGGCTTCAATACCTTAAAAAAAATCACATTGTTAATATATCTTGGTCTTATAATTTAGAAAGAAAATTTAAAACATGGCGGTTTAACTATAGTCCTTAAAATATCGTTTCTTGGGACTAAAGTTATGTAGCCGTGATCTAATAGAGATTGAAAACATATTCAATATTTATGTCGCGTACCTTTGGAATGTCTCCTATTCGTATAGTATTTTCGGAACAATTCTCGGGCTGGTAGAAATAATTTGGTGGTTCTGAGAAAGGATTGCAAACATGAACAGGATTTGAATATGATGTTGCCTGCATTGATAGATTTGCATTCACCTAGGAAATGACCAAAAAGTTACTTCAATGTAGTTGTGATTTGGAAAGAAATTTGATTTTTTAGATTATATATGCAAAATTTACCTCGTTAACAAGATGATAGATTCCAGAACTAAATTCAGATAGAACTGGTTTTGCTTTGAGCAATTCTTGACATGGAAGGATTGAGCTTAGGCTGTTGTTGTAAGGATTTTCTTGAAAGTTGTCAAGAGCTGTGCATGCATCACTAGAAAATCTACAATATGCGAACATAATTTAGTAATTTAACCTATGAAGCACGGACACCTCCTACAAGACATAGACATGTAGACATGGTAATAGTTTGAAAAAAATAAATAAATTAAATATAATCATAAATGTCAGTGTCAATTTCGAACACCAATACAAACACTTTTTTTTCCAGAAATATCGGTGCCACAGAAAATTTAATAAAGAAAATCATTATAAAACTTTTGAGAATATGTAATTAGGACTTTATATTTACTTTTCTAAGAAGAAATAGACTCCAAAGAATAGCCAGCATAACACTGTCATCAACCAACAAAATGCAACAAGCCTGTGAAAAAAAAAATAATGTTAATTTTTGTAACATGTATCATATATGAAATTTGTAAATATAAAAAATAAAAAAAAATATAAAAAATTTAGCATGCTTACATGTACAATGACCTCCTTAACCTTAGCATTCCACAAACTGTTCACAGAAAATTTCAAAGTTATATGAAAAATTGAATCGTGGATCATTCATCATGTGTATAATATGTAGAAGAATTTCTTCATTGAGTAAAATCAAACAAGATTTTAATACCTGACAAAACTGTTACAGCAAGCAAGTTCAAGCACATAATCACTATAGTAGTTACATACCTGCAATCAAATTGAAATTTATTCCATCACAATTTAAAGTTAGTAGAACGGTAAGAGCTAAGAAACATTGATACCGACACCAGACACAACACTGACATTTGACACTGGACACAGCACAGACGCTATCATGTCAACAATGACAATAATTTGAGAAAAGAGATTATTGAATGTTTCGTGTCACGTGTGTTAATATTGTGTCTAGTCCAGACACTACACACAGTCAAGTCTAACACATGCACAATGATAACAGTTTGAGAAAACAGATTATTGAATGTGTCGTGTCACGTGTGCTAATTAATAGTGTGTGGTACTAGACACAGCTTCAATCAGAAGTGTTATGCTAGAGTGATAGAGTCTTACACTATTTTCAAGCCCTTGTTGATAAGGCGTCTATTCTTCCTGGCTTGCATTTCAATATTTCCTGAGGCATCTTCAAGTTTCTCAGCTGTAGAGTCAAGATTCGATGAAGCCTCAATGCTAACATTTGCTTCCATCAAGCTATTCTCCATGCCTTTTAATGCATCTGTTGTATTATGTATTGTTTCCGATGCTTTGTTTGCAGTTTTGATTATGATATCAACCGAAGTTTTGCCTTCCGAATGAAATCTTGCACTCCCAACTAGAATTAGCCCTGTTGCAACTCTACAAAAATCAAGAGTCATGCATACATCAATATTTCATATGGATACTCAAAGCTACCATAATCGAAGCTGCATCAGCTGCTTTTGAAAAAAGACGTGTCAGTGTCGGTGTCAGTTTCAAACACCAATATTAACATACACACGTATTTATTTTTTCAGAGATGTCAGTGCTACGTAGTAATTTAAAACCGTTGACAAAGTTGAATGACTTACATGGCAATTAACATGAGAAACAAGGCCAAAAGAATTAGTGAAACATCACAAGTCTTGTAATTACAAGGAAACACCTTCTTCATTATTTTTCCTCCATCATTTTCGCGATAACAAAACTCGGTGATTACCAAAAAAACTCCATACAATATTCCACATAGAAGGAACAACATTCCAATTGCATATCCATATACACCAGTAAATATCAAAGACTACAATAAAAACATTAAAAACATGTTAACAACATCATTGGTGTTTAAACTTAAACTAAAAAGAAAAGTGAAAAGAATTACACTCCAATAATTCTTGTTGGTGATGTTGAATCCTCCTCTATATTTTTTAAAATTTTCTAAAGGATCAACTCTAATTGTATTATCCTTCTGTTTAGTTTGTTCCGTCGCGCTATCTACGCCAAACATAAACATAAACATTAACATAGTACTTCTCATTTTCCGTGTTTAATAATATGTCACGCGGTATAATGTTTCAACATTAATAAATAAGTATGAAAAAATGTGATAATTGAGAACTTAGTGACTTTGATGAAACTTAATAATAAATTACCTGCAGCAGAATGAGTAGGTGAGAAAGCTTGTGCTGAAATCTGTGGCAGAATCAAAACTATGATCACTATAATAGATACCAAACCTTTGGCTATGAACATCTCTAACCTGCAAATTTAACTAGACGCAATCAATCAAGAGAAAAAGAAAAAAAAAAGAGTTTCCATGGTTTATAAACTTTATACTAAGCATATAAATGTAGAAGAAGCAATCTTGAATAAACTTTATTAGAGCAATATTTCATCGCATAATTGAGTTACAAGAAAAGAACATTGTGACATGTGAGTGCATGGAATTTTTCAGATTACTTACTTGAAAAATTCAGAAATGAATTTCTACAACAAAATTCTTCAGCTAAACTATATATGACATTTTTCAACTCTCATAAAGAGTGCATAAAAGTATAAGATAACGCCTAACTAGTTTTTCTTTAGTCAAATAGTATAGTGCAAGAAACCAAATCCAACATCTAAACTAAAACACTTTTAAATATAATTTTGGTTGTCCTATGATTTAAATTCAGTGATTTAAACTTTAATTTTAACTATATGTGTTAGAATAATTTTGAACGTTATTTTGTTCAGACAACTATAATTTATAACTCTGTCGCGTATATTCTATTATTAATAAATAAATAAATAAATTTTTGATAAAAAGTATAAATAAAATATGAATTTGAGTCTATTTTTATTAATTACTAAATTTAATAACAATTAGAGAATATTTTAATTTTTCTCAAATTTTGGTCAATAATTTCATTTTTGTTAATAATATATAATTATATTATGTGGTATATATTATTAATGTTTTCCTTTTTTTATTTATTTAAAGCAAGTAGGAACAATTACTTTTAAATAACTTTTTCTTTTGTGTTAAATTAAATTAAATAAAATGTTAATGTTATATCTACGTTCACGCACTTAGTCATCAATGGTGAGAATTGAAGCAACTTTGCTTCTTCCATTGGTAATAAAAAAAAAAAGTAAGTTATATAAAAAAGTGATAAACTCCAAATGAAATAATAAAAAAGTAAATTAAAAACAACTTTACTCAATGTGAAGGCTAAGAAAAATACAAAATAAAAGTAAAATCGTGTGAAATACTCCACTAAACTTGTAAAAAGGATTGAATTTAATTCGTGCCAAAATTTCAACCTAATCCATTTAGGACCTCATAAGTCATAAACAACAACTCCAAACATTCAAACACTACATTATTTTGGTCTTTTTCAAATTTGTTTTAGTCAAAAATATGACAAGGCATGACTTCTAGTGGTCAAGAAAACAACTTGGAGGTGCAACATTTCATGATTTTTTTATACATGCTTTGTGAGTTGTTGTATTTCTTTTACCAATATTATGATAAATGTCGAATAATTCAAATAAGTGTTTTGAAATAATTTTTTTTATGCATTTCGTATATATTTTTGACTCATCAGAAACACATCTACATGAATTAAAGACATGCTAAATATGTTTTATAATTTTTAAAATATAGCACTTTTGTTAATGTGTGAATTAAAGATATACTAAATATGTTCTATAATTTTTAAACATAGCACTTTTGTTAATGTGTGAGTATATAAGTTAGTGAATTAGTTATATTATACACTCGTATATGTATATAGTTCAGTAAAATAGTTATATTATATACTTGTGCGGGCATATTACTAAAATAATTATTTCTCAAATAAATTATACACTTGTGCAAGTATATAGTTCAAGTAGTTAATTTATAATTAAGTTTAGTAGTAGTTTAAACTAACTTATTAACAAGTGGTTAGTTAGTTAGTTAAGTTGATTGTAAATTATGTTTTGAGTCTGAATGAAATATACCACATTTGTTACAACTTTAATTAATTACTTTGTTGCACAAGAAACATAGTTGCACTAATAATTGGGATGGAGAGTTTGATTGTGTCAAATGGAAATAAAAGAGAGTTGTGAGAGGATCATTGAATTGGGAAATTTTTAGTGAGGTGTGTGATTTTTTTAAAGGATTTTTACAGCAATCATGAATATAAATGGTGAATTTCTTTCTAAAATCTTGATTCTTGATGGTAATTGAGAAAGATGGAGTTCCTTAATGAAATCATTGTTTCAAGCTCAAGATGGTGTAAAATGGTCATGAAAAACAGGGAGCAAAATCCACAAATGCACAAAGAGTCATATTCAAATATTCAAATAAGAAAGACTGTAAGGCTTTGTTCTACATTTAACAAAATGTGGATGCTCATCATTTTAAAAATATATTAAAGGTGTCAAAATCCAATGACGCGTGTGATATACTAGAGAAGTACCATGATGGTCGAGAAAAGGTGAAACAAGTGATGCTTTGATCTTTAAGAAGGAGTATGAGTAGATATAGATGTAAGATAGCCAAAAGATGACTGATTACTTTTCTTATTAATTCCAGTGGTAAATCAAATGAAGAAATGTGGTAAGACTATCACTGATCAACAAGTGGTTGAGAAATTGATGAGATCTGATAGAATTAGAGTTTGACCTAACCCATTCTTACAAAATTGACTTCTAAGGTGAGGGGTATCACTCTATAGTTTTTTCCCAATACATCTTATCACATCCAATACTATTGGACTTGGTGTATGATCGGTGACCTAAATTATCGATATGTGAGACTTGGTTTTTTCAATACACCCTCTTGCACCTAGCACTATTGGGCTTGGTGCATATAAATGGTGGATGGCCCGAATCGATAGGCCCATGATACTGTTGAGAAACAAGTGTGAGTTGTGTTGAAAAATAAGTATGAGTTTTAAGTCTCACATTGTTTAGGAAAGTAAAGGTTTGACACTTTATAAGTGAGAAGACCTATACACATATCACCTTAAAGTTTTTGGTGAATATGTGATGTCTCTCTTACTTGTTTGCATGAGTCTTTGATTTTTAGAAGAGTATTTGACTCAATGTGAATGCTTCCGCTTCGAGTAAGCGGTTAGAGCTACGGTGACCCTACCTCGTGTACAAATCACCTATCATGATGATCCATCACGAGTATCAGAGCCTGGTTCGAGTAAGGGATCAGCTCCTTGTGTCAAAAGTTTTCCTAACATGGTGGTAAGGCGGCGTGTCCCGTTGAAGTCTCCATGACAAGATAAAGGTGTCTCTCAACGGCGGTACAAGCATGTAGATGAAAGAGTTTCCGTTTGAGGGGAGCATAGTAGATGGACACACACTTGAGGAGGAGATTGTTGAGAAACAATTGTATGTTATATTGAGAAATAAGTGTGAGTTCTATATCCCACATTTTTTGAAAAAGTAAAGGTTTAATACTTTATAAGTGAGAGGACTTATATATCTACCACTTAAGATTTTGGGTGAATATGTGGTACCCCTCTCATTTATTTGAATGAATTTTTGATCTTTAGGTGATTGTTTATCCCAATATAAATACTTCTCTATCATGATGACTCATACGATACTATGATAAAATTAGAGTTTGACTAACTGTAATTTAGATGAATACTTTTCTATCATCTTATATATATGAATTTTATTTTAGTTTAATAATGACTTAAAAATATATAATAATATTAGTGCTTCATTGATTAATTTTTATTTATATTCTTGACTTGTATGTAAAATTTGTAATTGAATTGATAAGTCAATTGAAACCAAGACTATAAATGGGTTGGCTGCGTTTGTGCTCCCCCAATTAAAGAAAAAACATTTTAGTCAAAAATAGGCAACAACAGTTACCGTATTAATCTGTTTTAGCATTGGGTGGCTAAATACAACTCACTCTATTGCCTTTAAGATGATTTATGTTGACTCCAAATAAATTGTTTTTATTACTAAAGTTCAAACTTATGGATATATTTAAATTTCAAACTTATTATTGGTTAAAGTTCAAACTTATGAATTTATTTAAATTTCAATATTATCAAGCATTGAAAATTACAAAAACGGCTACATAGGAAAATTTCCTAAATTTAAAGTGAATTGAGTTGTGCTTTTGTTGGATAAAAGTGGTTTTTCAAAAACATAAAATAGATATCCATATATCCAATTGTAAATGTTATTGCAAATGAAAGAAGTAAGACTCTATTTAGTAAAAATAAGGGTTGGTATAAATTATATAATAATTTATATATATATAATTTATAATTTATGAGTGATGACCGATAGTTTATAATTTATGGTTGATGATTGATGACTTATAGCTGATAAGTTGAATGAAGTGTTTGTTAAAATTAACGATTTAATTAGTTGATAAATTAAAATGACATAAAAGATATTTAATATATAATTGTTTTATTTTAAATTAAAATAAATTATAAAAAGTAATAATGAATTTTAAATAAATTAATAAAGATAAAAATAAAATAAAAAATATAAGTTATAAGCTAAAATATTATTTGAAATAACATCTGAAATATAAGATATAAGTTAGTAAAATAAGCTATAAACTCGTAATAAAAAGATTATTATCAAATAAAGCCTAAGACTATGTTTAACTAGACATTTGTTGAATTTATAAATTATAACTTATAAGTTCGTATTCTCGTAATAAAAACTTATAAATTCATATGACAATAAATAATCTCCTTAGTAACAGTTTTAATTTTAATTACGAATTTATTATTTATTTTATTAGTTTATAGTTTATTTTAGAAATTTTATTTTAAATAACATTTTAGTTTATAATTTATTATTTATTATTATTTTCTTTTACTTTTGTCTTTATTATTTTAATTAAAAATCATTACTATCTTTTATAATTTATTTTAATTAAATGTCTTTTATATTATTTTAATTTGTTAATTATTAAACTGTTAATTTAACAAACACGTCAATTAATTTATCAGTTATAAATTATTAATTATCAACTATAAACTATAAATTATTAGTAATCATCAGTTATAAATTATAAATTATAAGTTAGCTTATCAGTCAACCATTATTTTTATCTAGATTCGATTCTGAGGCAGGACAAAGTGGACACTGTCCATTAGCCTAAAAAAATTATTGATATTTATATAATCAAGTTCAAACAATATAAATAATAGGTCCAAACATTAATAGACCCAACAAAATAAAAATAATTTAATAAAAAATATTTTCATCTTCTTAATTTTGAA